TGTGCTGTAGTCGTGACCACAGACGTAGACAGGTACTTAATGCATTCGCACAGTAAGGGGAGCGAATGTCATTCAAGCTCAGCAGTACGCACTTACTTCCCTTTATTACGAAATGGCATCTTTTGCTCCCCCTTTTTAACTTCATTGAAAAGCGCCCAGCCTTCGTTTGTATACACAGCGTGTGTGGGTTTTACTTTTTTGTGGGTGGGGTTTTTTTTCCCCTACGCGATGGCCATCCCACAGGTAAAATTTAGTCTGACACAGGTTTTGGTAACCGTTAAGCAATGCTGATGTACCCAACGGAATAATAAACTCACTCTTTCTGTATTGTGTTGGATTCAAAATGTCCAGGGCAACGGTATGTAGGCTTAGTAAACTTACTTAACCACGTATTGGAGTACTATTCGACTTTGGTTTAAAGAGTTTCAAAACTAAAACTTTATTTCTAAATGTTGGAGAAATTGTAAATTAATGATTAGATCTATACCGTACTCTGTTTCGGTTATGCATCAGGCAACGTTTCTCTTGTTAAGGTACCCAAGACTGATATTACTTTAACTTCGTTTGCATTTTTATACGTGTTATGTCATTTTTTTTCGCTTTCCTCTCTTATCCCTCGGTCCTCAATCTTTCATTATATTTTTTATTCATTGTTTTATACTCTGTCTCACTCACTCACTCACTCACTCACTCACTCACTCACTCACTCACTCACTCACTCAACCACCACCTCAAACCCTGCCTGCCATGCATGTGTGTTCTATGGTAGCCAGCTCCTCTCTCTCTCTCTCTCCCTCTGTCTCTCTCACTCACTCACTCTCTCTGAGAGGAAGTGCAGCCAGTTCTTTCATGCGCCGCCACCAGTGTCAGACAGCTTTGTATCTTTTTTCTCTTTTATATATCATGTCTGTGTGCTTTGGTCAGGCGTTGTCCGGCAGCATCTCTCCGCAATGTTCCTGTCCATGTTCCGGTGTGTGCACCGCGACGCTATGCTCAATAGGGAAGAAAATATCTTTGGCAATCGGCAATGTATTTCTTTCTTTCTCAGAGTTAATTTATCACCACAGTGATTTGCGGATTGGAATAAAACTGCCGAAAAGTGGACACTGAAATCAAATACACTTTTTTTTTTGCGAGGATTGGGGAGGGGGGGTTATTTAGGCTGTAATTTTGGAATCGTAATTAAAACTACTATTTATACCGCTCTATGTAGCAAGGATGGGTGGAG